TCTGTGGACAGGGCCTCCACGGTGGCTGATTCTGTGGACAGGGTCACTGTGGCACTAGGCTCCGTGGAAGGGGCTTCTGTGGTAGTTCGTTCTGTGGACAGAGCCTCTATGACTGTGGGTTTTGTGGGCAGGGCCTTCAAGGTAGTGGGCTCTGTAGTCTCCACCTCCGTGGCTGCTGGTTGAGCAGTCTGTGCTTCCGTAGCTACTGGCCACATGGTGAGGGCCTCTGTGGCTGCTGGCACTGTGGACAGGGCCTCCGTGGCTGCTGGCACCGTGGACAGGGCCTCTGTGGCTGCTGGCACCGTGGACAGGGCCTCCGTGGCTGCTGGCACTGTGGACAGGGCCTCTGTAGGTGAAAGGCCCGTGGGACGAGACTCCATTTTCGGCCCCACAGAGAGAGCCCCCTCTGTGGAAGGAGCCTCTGTGATGGGTTGTGAGACCAGAGTGTCCGACGTGACTGGCATCCACTCCGTGGCCTGTCCCTCACTCTGGGTCTTTGTGGCTGTCCTTCCTTCCTCCAGGCTGGCAGAGTCCCTTGTGGCAACCTCTGCAGTGGCTGGCTCGGGGGTCCCCGGCCCGGCTGACCCTCTCTGTCCCAGCGTTCCCATCGTGGTCAGAAGCCTGAGGTCTGAGTCCGCAAGCCAGGTACTATTTCCAATTATTTCTGGGGGGTCCGTGTTTTCCGGGTTGTAGTCCTCATCCATGTCATCATCGAAGGCCACCTGTCTGCGGTCCCGGACAAGCAGGGGGCCTGGAGCTGCTTTGGCTCCATCCTCCCACAGCCAGAAGCCACTGCCAGGACTCAGCAGGGACAGCAGCAGCAGGAGTCGCAGAGACATAGCACCTGGGGGACACAACAGAGGGACGCCAATTCAGAGCTTTAATCACCATGCCGCCTGCCAAGCTCTTGGTTAAGACTTTTTATTTTGGGCAAGACAGGCCATTGGGGTAGAGAAAGCAAATATTAGAGTTCCTAGCTATATTGACTTTTTCTGTCATCGCTTCTTAATTTTTTTATTTGGCTCGAACCGCGGTTGGCCATGTGGGAGTCCAGCACCCTTAACCACCACGCTACCCGCCAGCCCCAGAAAAGGCGAATCTTTTACCACAGCCCTGCTCTCGGAGTTCACTGTCATCAGTCACATTTGCCTGTGGGTAGAGCCACTGTCCATCCTGAGGGTCCATGCTGTCCTCCCTGCCAAGTAGCCAGAAAGGACAGCAGCCCTCCTTTTGGCCATGACACTGGCCTTCTGGGCATTACAAACGCCTGTGGCCTCTTGTTCTCTCTCTCCCTTACACTCTCTCTGGTACTGGCTGGGGCTTATACGATTCAGAATGCTGGTTCTGAGAATCCCGTGGTCATTGATAGCTGCATAATGGGGCAGAGTTCAGCTATTCTTGGGCTTGTGGAACATAACACCCTTCAACACGCCATGAGCCCCAGAACAGTGTCCGGTGCAGAGTGGACGTTCCAGATCAGTGCCGGATACGACCGGTATTTTCCCTGTACTTCGTCCATGTGACTTGGACGAAAGAGTGTTGCTCATCATTCCCTGGGTGACTGTCACTCACTCATGGGCCCCAACTCAGACCATGTCACTTAGACTTGTGTTGGTTTCTTCCTTTCTTCTTTCTTTCTTTCTTTTTTTTTTTTTTAGAAATTTTTGCTATAGGGCATGCGCACTCGCCAGAGAGACAGAGAGTGAGAAATCACCCCCTGGGAGAATGGCCAGGCCACAGTCCCTTCTCCTCCAGTCTCCTCTTATGCACTCACACACAACAGACATGAATTTTAAGCCACTGGGTCCAGGACTTGAATGGTGGTCACTTATATGGTAGTCCACCGACATAACCATTACACTATCTGCTGGCTGCAAGAACTGTGCTGGTTTCTAAAATGCAAGCCTGGGGCCAGCGGATGGTATAAAAACCAAGCCTTATCACACCTTAAGATAATTTCTTTATATATATATTTTTTTGGGGGGGTAGAGGTTTTCGCTATAGGGCACGTGCGCTCACCAGACAGAGACAGAGACAGAGAGACAGAAAGCGAGAAATCGCCCCCTCCCCCAGAGGGGATGGTCACGCTGCAATCCCTTCTCCTCCATTCTCCTCTTGGGATCTTGGGCACGCACGCACATGCACCCGGCGTGAGTTTTAAGCCACTGGGTCCGGGATGCGAACCACGGTCAACTACGTGGGAGTCCAGCGACATAGCCATTACGCTAACTGCTGGTTCCCAAGATAATTTCTTAAACCAAACGTGATGATATTTCCATCAGCCAGATCTGGCCCTCACAATTATCCATATTTCACAGAGGATGAAACTGACGCTCATAGAACTGGAACGACTTGCCCAAAGACAGAATTGGTGAGAGGCCGAGATCTGATTTGAATCCAGGAAGGATTTGGGACAGCTTTATGGGGAAACCTGACCTAGCTGAGGGGACGACAGAGGCAAAAGCTTGTGAGAGAGCTTAACTAGAGGTGGCTGGGGCCCGGGGCTCCGGTGGGAGGTGGAGGGAGGAGCTTGAGATCACGTCACCCAGGAAGCTCAGCTCCACATTTCCGAGGTCCCATGCAGGCAATAGGATGGGAAGCACAGACTACAGGGTTGAAGGATGTTCAAGTCCCGGCTCTGTCTCTTCCAAGCGAAGCGGCATGACCCTGAGAAAAATCCCCACCTCTCTGAGCCTCCGTTCTGCCATCTATAAAATGGGGATAAGTCGCACTACGCTGGAGAGCTGCTGTGAGGTTGCAACAAGACGATGGACTCAGAAGTTCCAGGCTAGGGAACCAGCAGTTAGCGTAATGTCCACGTCTGGACTGGCTGTCAGGGTCATTGTGGGTGGTGAGGACCCTGTTGGGGTGTCTCTCCCTTTCTTACAGGAAAAATCAATAAACTTTTAGAAAAAAGTTCCGGGGGCAGCAGATGGCGTAGTCTCGTTGCTGGACTCCCACATAGCCGACCACGATTTGAGTCCTAGACTGACTTGAAAATCACATCGGGTGTGTATGTGAGTGTGCCCAAGATCCCAGGAAGACAAGGGATTGCGGCATGGCCATCCTCCCAGGGGGTGATTTCACTTGTCCTCTCACTGTCTCTGTCTCTCTCTCCCCAGCGAGTACATGTGCCTGTGACAAAAGCTTCTAGGAAAAAAATACTTTCAGGTTCACAACAGGTGCTTAATAAATGGTGTGCACAAGGCCGCAAGTGGCGTGGTGGTTAAGGGTGCTGGATACCCACATGGCTGACTGTGGTCTGAGTCCCAGACCTGGAGGCTCGCTTTCTCACTTTCCTTCTCTTTTTCTGTCTCTCTGTCTGGTCAAACGGAACAACAATAATAATAATAGAGTTACATTAAATAATTCCTTAAAAATAAGTAAATAAATAAATGGTGTGACGGGCCAGCAGATGGTGTAATGGCTACGTTACTGGACTCCCATGTAGTCAATTGTGGTTCAAGTCCCGGACCCGGTGGCTTAAACTCATGCTGGGTGCGTGTGCGTGCATGCCCAAGACCCCAAGAGGAGAATGGAGGAGAAGGAATTACGGTGTGGCCATCCCCCCTTAGGGGTGATTTTTGCTTTCTGTCTCTCTGTCTCTCTCTATCTTGCTGGCAAGCACATGCACCCTATAGCAAAACCTCTCCAAAAAAAAAAAAATGGTGTGCACACACACACAAACACACTCACACATGTACATACACACACACACAGCTTTGCATTTGGGACGGTAGTTTCTTTGCACAGGGGTGGAGTTCCACTTGGGGGAAGAACAGGTGACCCAACCTTGGCCCCACTTTCCTGGGGGTAGGGGCTTTGAGAAGGAGCCACCAGCTCAGAGGCATATTTCATAACGATGAAAACACCTTCACCCTAACCCCCACTCGGCAGTTCTCTATTCCTGGAAGGCAGAGCCCTCAGTCACTTCCTGTAAGCAGAGAGGGAGGGGCAAAACCCAAAGTCCAGTGCCCCAGTTCCCGGGTGGTCAGGGCCCAACCTCATGCAGCCGGAAGCTGGGGGGCTAATTTGGAGAGTCATGCTCTGAAGGCAGCTCTCCCACAGTCTGCCCGTTCCTGACACCCATCCCCACGTCCCTGCTCGCAGACAGCCTGGAACAGAGGAGAGAGCACCGGCCTGAATCCCACATTTGCCTCCACTTAGCTGTGTGCCCTTGGGCAGGCGGAGTCACCCTCTCTGAACCTCCGACTCCTCACCTGTAAAATGGGCAATCTCGTTTAAACAACGGACATCAGAACCAAAGGAGATTGCACGGAGGTTCCTGTTTCTGGCCTCCAGCAGGGGTATCTTCTGTGTGGCCACGAACAGAGGAACAGAGAGAAGGGAGGCCTCTGATTCGAGGAGGGTACGGAGAGGGTGCCCTCCCTACCGCACGCCACGGGCAGTTAAGGAAGCCACAGGAGTCTGTGCAAAAGCAGAGACCTCCTGTCCGGCCGAACAAAGCTGGGTCTATACACAAGACTGCGGGTTTGGTCCCTGCTCGACCTGTCCATGCCAGGTGTGCACCACAAGCCCGGCTGGGAAGGCTGGCAGGCTGGGTGTGGAGGGGTGAGACCTGCTGAGGGCACTGGTCTTCTCTCTCTGACTCACTCTCAGGAAAGAAAGAAACAACAACGAAGAGATGTGGCCCACTGAAAAGGCCCAGATCTCCCCACCCAGGCCTATCTACAGCAACTAGCTTGTTCCGCATGTTCCTGGCATTAGCACTGAAAGCGCTTTGTCCTGGGCCAGGAGATAGCGTAGCAGTTTCGTCACTGGACTCCCACATGGCCGACTGTGGTTTGAGTCCCAGACCCGGACCCAGTGACTTGAAACTCACGCCAGGCGCGTGTGCGTGTGTGCCCAAGGTCCTGAGAAGAGAATGGAGGAGAAAGAATTGCAGCATGGCCATCCCCCCGGGGAGGGATTCTCACTTTCCCTCTCACTGTCTCTCTCTCTGGTGAAAGCATGTGCCCTAAGGCAAAAATCTCTAAAAAAGAAAGAAAGAGAGAGAGAGAGAATGGAAATAAGGAAGGAAGGAAGGAAGGAAGGAAGGAAGGGAGGGAGGGAGGAAGAGAAGGAAAGAAGGAAGGAAGGGAGGAAGGAAGGGAGGAAGGAAGGAAGGAAGGGAGAAAAGAAAAAAAAAAAAAAGTCCTTTGTCCTCACACACCTTCAAGCCCAGGCAAACCGGCCATCTGGTCAACCCCACCTGGCCCCTGCCATCCTGTGGGCTTTGAGAGGAAGGACCACAGAGACAGCAGCCTGGAGCCAAGCTGCAGCTGAGCGGGCATCAGTCCACGTGACAGGAAGCAGACCTGAGGCCCCAGGAGATTCTGTGTCTCCATCAAGACCACGAAGGTGGAAAAGAAAGGGACAGGGCTTGTGTTCTGTGGATGGCAGGTAAGATAGTAACACCTTCCTGTTTGCTAAAATGCATATGCATTGTGCTGTAAGGAACATGACATATGACCAAGTCCCCATGGTGGACGGCCGGTTCCATCATCTCGTCACGTGGGTGAGCTGGAGCTTCATGACCGCTAAGCGCTGGCTACGAGGACGTCCACTCTACAGGGAGGAAAGCTCTGAGCAGCGGAGCCACCTCCAGGCCCCGCTCGCTCTCTCTCGGCTCCCCAGAAGGCAGAAAAACAGTCACTCGCCACAGAGCAGGGCCAGGCGGGCTCTGAGCGGGGGAGCGGCCACATCCTATTTGTCTCGAAGCTGCCCCAGCGGAATCGGTCAGAGGTTGCCCATTTCCTGTCATTCCCCCCGAAAACCAGGTCGCTTAGCTGCTGGCCCCACCCTGACCGTAGAGGAGCAAGCTGCCAGGAAGCCCCACAGCCCAGCTCCAGAGACCACGCCAGGGGCTGCTCTGAGCAGCTCAGAAAAGGTGCCCGTGGGATTCCAAGAAGCCAGGAGCCTCCCATGCAGAATCTGGAGACCCAGGAGTCCCGTGATGCGAAAGCTTGGCATTTTAGAACCCAAAATAGCGAGCATCTCTGGGGCAGAGTCCGACAGCCGCTTGGAGAAATGAAGGCTGCCGATCAAATCGAGGTCACACTGAGCTGTGGGTGGCTCCAGCTCCCATTGCAGGTCTCCGCCCTGTGCCCAGGACAGCCCTGATTGGAGTCACGTGAAACCGGATCAACCCCAGCTCTGTCCGTTACAAGCTGTGTGACATCGGGCAATTTGACTCGTCCTCTTCTGAAATACAAGCGTAGAAGAAGCTCCCCGTCCCCATTCCTGGGACAGGCTTTGACACACCTCTGGTCTTCTCCATCAGGGAGGCAGAGCACAGGGAACTCTAGAAACACCTCCATTGGAAGCCCGGGGTGCCACCCACAAAGCCTTGCCTCCTCTGGCTCATACATGGCACATACTGAGTGCCAGCCACTGACCTAAGAGCCGCACATGAATTATTAACCCACTTGAATCCCAGAGCCCCCTCGAAGGCATGGGTCCCATTATTAGCCCCATGTGAAAGATGGGGAAACTGAGGGCCACTTGCCACCTAGACTCATCCATCTCTCTCTAGAGTCCCCCTCAGAGTCACAGTCCCACATCACCAGTGAGCCAGCCTGTGTCCATTCTCAGGATCCAGAGTAAATGCTGCCTCCTCCTGGAAGCCCTTCCGGACTGCCCCAAGCACGAATAGTCACCCCAGCCCCTCAGTGTTTAAACCTTTTCTAATACTTGGAACCAACAGATGGTGTAATGGTTATGTTTCTGGATTCCCACATGGCCGACTGCAGTTCAAGTCCTGGACCCAGTGGCTTGAAACTCATGCCGGGCACATGTGTATGTGTGCCCAAGATCCTGAGAGGAGGCCATGTTGCTCAGCTGACACTGATACACCTTCTTCGTCACCCCCCACCGCCCTCCAGGAATCGTTAAGATTGCGGGTACGCTGTGTATCTGTTCAGTGTTCCCTGGCCTCTCACAGAGCCACCCACCACGGTATTAACCGAGGGTTTTTGTACACATGCTGCCCAACCCAAGAACCAAGTCTCACCGGCCAGAACCCAAATTCGTTGGCCAGATACAGAGGACGTGGGCTGTTGTGCATTAACAATGAGACCTACACCTGGTTTTAGATGAACCAAAACACTGAGGTAACTGTGAAACCGACAGCTTTCTGAAGACACTTGTGAAGACAAACAGACAGACAGACACACACACACACACACACACACACACCCCCGCCATGCTGTCTCCTCCTAGCCCGCCAGGCCCCCCACTGCCATCTTCCTGCTTAAGTTCAATTTGAAGGGGACTGAGAGACCAGGACCTGGGGTCACCATGGGCTCACAGCCAGAGGGGCTGTGTCAACTCTGGGGCGACCACCTCCCAGCCGCTCTGCCAGAGGAGGCTGCTTCTCTGCTCTGCGGCTACCCCACCTGAACAAGGGGGCACTGTCCACCCACCAGGGCTCTCGGTGTTCCCTCCCATGCCCTCGGCACCACGCCCCTTCCACTCTCTGGGTTTCAATCCCCCGGGTTGCTGGCCACACCTAGTGAGGGAGGCACCCCTTTGCAAAGGGTGTGGCCGCCCAGGCAGCCCCCAGAGGAAGCCACCTGCCTGCTGAAGGCCGGAAGTCCGAGCTGGGAAAGGGAGTCACGCCGGGGCCAGCAAAGGAGAGAGAGTTCTGGACAGCAGGAACCCTGACCTTTGCCTGTGGGGCAGCGGCTGAGGAGGGGGCGAGAACTCCTTTAACCACCGCCCCCACTGTTCTCCTTAAAGCACTCCAAGTACAAATGAATAAGAGCACTCTAATTATTATTTTTGCTTTAGGTAACAATCATATTCTGATATCCTTCTTTTTTTTTTCAGAGAGATTTTTGTTATAGAATGCATATACTCACTAGAGAGACAGAAAGTGAGAAATCACTCTCTGGAATAATGGCGCCATGCAATCCCCTCTCCTCCATTCTCCTCTTGGGATTTTGCACCCGCACACACACGCACCTGGTGTGAGTTTTAAGCCTCCGGATCTGGGACTCAGACAGTAGTTGGCCATGTGGGAGTCCAACAACGTAACCATTATGCTATCCACTAGCCCTGGTATTTTAATATCTTAATAATTTGCCATGGACAAGAGTCATTTTCTCAGTCTTACAAAAAATAGGAAGAATGCATATTGAAAAGCAATAGTTTTTATGGATCCGTAACTTCTATTGAGACAATCCTGCACCCCTCCTCCTTTCCGGAGTCTTCTAATCTCAGCACTGCCCCTAAGCAATCCCCTTCACTACTCTGGGCCTCAGTTTCCTATGTGTACGAGGGCAGGACAGTTTCTAGGGCAACGCCCATCATTTCTCTAATTTTCAGATTTGGAGTGCCCCGAGCCAGCAGTGGCAGACCGACCTGGCAGGGAGGGCAGATTAGAGGTTAACAAGACAAAGTACAGAAAGGACCCCAGAATGTGGCCACAGACTCCAGGAAGACCTGGGTCCTGAGCCTCCCCTGGGACTGCATCTGAGGAAGGGCTGGAAGGCAGGCCTGCAGGTCCCTGGGGCCCCAGCCGCACCCTGCGGTTTTTGCAAACCAGCACTTACCGCGTTCAGCAGAGCATGGGATAGCTGCCTCGTGGGCCCCAAACAAGTGGCTTCTCCGCTCTAGTGACAAGGTCCCAGTCCACGCTGCCGGGCTCCGCCGAGGCACCCCCTGCCGTGGCCTGGGACCCTGCCAACCCCCAACGGCTGACTGTGGAAGAAGGAAGCGAGAATGTGGTTCCTCCAGCAGGGCCACGTGACAGTGCTGTTTGGTGACAACGTTGATCAAGACTGAGTGGGTGGCAGACAGGGACCTGCAGGGCCTGACATCACCCTTGGTTTACGGTAACTGTGAAAACAGCGAGAACCAGGTGGAGACTTCCTGGGGAGGGGTTTCCTGGTTGGAGGTGGGACCCCAGCTGAGGAAGGCCACATGGCAAGCCCCAGAGATAGTGGAGATGGGGTGAGAGGCCCTGCCCTGGGAGAAAGGGAGAAATCAGATTTAAAAAGGAGGACAGTTCTGGGCCAGCTAGTGGTATGGTGGTTAAGGCGACTGGATTCTATGTGACTGACTGCATGGTTCAATCCCTGGACCTGGCAGCTTGAAAAAACACACTGAGCGGGATTGAGGTGTGGCCATCTCCCCTTGGGAGGGGATTTCTCACTTTCCCTCTTTCTCTCTGTTTCTGATGAACACATACACCCTCTAGCAAACTTTATTAAAAAGGAAAAGAGCTTTAAAAGGAGAACCTTATTTATTTATTTATTTATTTTTTGCTCTCATCCAAGATGAGGGATGAGGAGTAGAAAATGCAAAACACAGACCCTCACGGGGTGTGTACCCATGAAACATTCCTTCTCTCAAGATCCAAACCGTATCTCGACACACAGCAGGTACTTTTCAGAGTAATCAAGGACCTTTCTGGGAAGCTAAATGACAAATTCCGCAAGGATACACAGCTACTGTGACTTATATGTGGGTACATGGTGTGATGTGATGGTGATGGGATTAAGAGGGTGGAAATTTAATCAGACTGTGGTGTCGAAAGCTGGAGCCTTTGGGATGAGTCAGGATCAAGGCCCTCAGGACGGGACACCCCCCCATGGACTGATAAGGAAAGGGAAGGCAGCCAGAACGGGGGGGAGACCTCCGGATCCAGTGCTCTTCTCTCCTCCGCAAGACCCTCCCCCCCCAGATGCGGCTCCTGGAACTTGGACCTCGGCCCTCCAAACCATGAGCTGAATAAACGTCTCCTTTTGCAGATTGCCCGTTTTAGGTTTCTGTTATTAGCAACAGATCAGCCTCGTACACCTGTTTCTCTCACTTATTCCACCTATTCTACTCATTTCGCCAACGCTGGCACCCCAGCGACAGGCTCTGAGGCTCCGAAGTGAACTGTACTGAGTTCCTGCCCTGCCGTAGCTCTTCAGCTGATGAAGAGGCCAGGAAATAAGCCAGTCAACAGATCATTACGACACAGCGCAGTGTCACCCTGAGGTGAGCACGGGAGGGGCCCTCATCTACCCCAGATGGGGGAAGGGATGGTCAAAAGCATCTTCCAAGCAGTGGTACTTAAGGATCAGCCCCATAGCCTAGTGGTTAAGGGAGCCAGATCCCACAGGGCCAATTGCAGTATGAATCCCTGCCCCTGAGGCTCAAAAATACACCAGGTACACGTGCATGCATGCCCCAGTTCCCAGCAGAATGGAGAGATGGAGGAGAAGGGACTACAACACGGCTCCACGCAAGGGAGCTTTCTCCCTCTCTCTCCAGCCAGTGCACATGTGCCCTTTGGCAATTAAAAAAAAAAAAAAAAAAAAAGAAGAAGTGGCATTTGGAACAAGTAGGGGTGAGGCGGGTGGAAAAATGAGGGCATCCCAGGCTGAGAGCACAGCTTGAGCAAAGACTGGGAGGGCCAGGAACGCACAGAATGCTAAGGACAGGAAGCAACGGTCTCCCAGGGCCAGCCCTGTGGGTTGCGCTGGGCGGGGTTCAGGACCGGCATAGAGAGAAGCTCACACCCTGCCTGGCACACAGCTTGTTTGAAAATGAAAACCGAAGTGGGGGAGTGGGTGCCTGCAGGTTTTTAGCACGACAGAACCTCGATCATCTGGGGAAGCTATGTGGGGACTTCATAAAGTTTGTGGAAAAACGTAATTCAACTTCATTTTGGTGCAAAAAATAGTTTGAAATTCGTGCGTAGCAAAATGCATCATTTTTACGTAATAGGCACTTGCTGTTCACTTTCAAAAAAATGTTTGCCAGAGGATGCTGGGCGTTTACCACGTTAGAGATGAGGAAACTGAGGCTGTGAGCGAGGACATGGCTCGCTCGAGGTCACACAGTGAACACAGCAGAGATGGGACGCAAATCCAGGCAGACGGAATAATGCTCTTGATCTTTTTTCTTTTCTTTTCTTTTTTTATAAAGAGATTGTTGCTACAGGGCACATGGACTCGCCGGAGAGACAGAAAGCGAGAACTCACCCCCCAAGGCCATGACCACACCACAATCTCTTCTCCACCAGTCTCTTCTAGAGATTTTGGGCACGTACACACACACACGTGCCTGGCATGAGTTTTAAGCCGGGACCTGAAGCACAGTTAATTACATGGGAGTTCAGTGACGTAACCATGACATCATCTGCTGGTCCCAGCAGATGGAATAAAACTCTTCATTTTAACCCTGGTCTGTGGTCATGCAGGCTGAACAGCAGATGCTGGGGCCTATTCTTTGTACACCAGCAAGCACTATGTTAGGGGACTTCAAAAAACTCATGAGTAGGCCAGCAGGTGGCATTGTCATTAAGTTGTTACTTTCCCACGTGTCTGACCACAGTTCAAGTCCTGGACTCAGCAGCTTGAAAATCATACCAGGCACGTGTGCGTGCATGCCAGAGTCACAGAGAAAAATGGAGAAGGGATTGCAACATGGTAATCCCCCCTGGGGGGTAATTTCTCACTTTCCCTGTTATCTCTGTCTCTCTCCAATGAGCACATGTGCCCTATGGCAAACACCCCCCCCCCCAAAAAAAAGTTCAATTAAAATATGGGTTTATTTTGGCACACATACACAAAAACCTCCACCACCATCCGCTCTGATTTGGGGGGGCTCACAGGAAGTTGATTTGAGTCATCCAAAGGGGAAATGGCTGCTTTGGGGCCCTTCAGAGCTAGGATTCAATTCCCCTTCTCAAATGGGAACAAGGTTTTGGGGAGTTCACTTTCAGCCTCAAATTCTGGCTGCCAAGCTGGGCTGCACCAGGAGTTGGTTTCTGGTTAGACTACAGTGTTGACCCCCTTCCTCCAGGGGAAAAGTGAACAGGGGCCCCCCAGGGCTCACTGGGTCAGCTTGAGTACTGGAGGGGGGACAGTGCAGGATTGGTCCCTGACCTGGAAGGGCAGAGGGCAATCCAGTGTACAAAACTGGGCCAGCCCCGCGGCCTGGTGGTTCAAGACTAGGTCCCACATGGCCTACTCCATGGTTCAAGTCCTGGCCACAGTTGCTTGAAACACATGCCGGGCATAAGTATGTGCATGTCCTAAATCCTGACAGGGTGGAGAAATGGAGAAGGGATTGCAGTGTGACCCGCCCGGTGCTTTCTCTCTCCCCTCTGTCTCTCTATCAAGCCATCTGGCAAATTATAAAAAAAAAAAGTGTGGGGCCAGCAGGTGGCATAGTATTTAAAGGCACTGGATTACCACAAAGCTAACCACAGTTCGAGTCCTGGACCTGGTGGCTTGCTTTCTCACTCTTCCTTTCACTCTCTCTGTTCAAATTTTAAAAATAACAAGTAGGGTTTTAAAAAATAATTCTTTTTTAAAAGAAAATGTAGAAATATGATCTAGAATCAGTGATTTTCCAAGGCAGGCAGCAGCTAAAGGAATCCATGCCTTTGACAGTCATCCTTGAGCACCCAGTCTGTGCTTATCCCTAGGGGCACTGAGATTAATTACTCAGGGGCCTATCAGTGGCACGGTGGTTAAGGCAGCTGGATCCCACATGACTGACCGCGTGGTTCAAGTTCTGGACCCAGCGGCTTGGAAAACAAGCCATGTGTTCAGAATCCCAAGAGTGGAGAAGAGATTGCAGCCTGATCACGCCCCATGGGGGTTGTTTTCCCACTTTCCCTTTCTCTCTCTCTTTCTCCCTGGCAATCACGCACGCCCCCTACCAAATTTGAAATAATAATAATTACTCTGGGTGTCAGGGGCCTCACGGGTCTGATGGAGACCTTACACAGACCATGCATGGAGTCTTGGTTGCAGACAAACTCAGCTTAAAGCAGATTCAGTGGCAACAGAACTCCTGGGGTCTCTCATGGAGGTTAAGGTCAGCAGTGCAGCTGGGCCTTAGGCATGGACTCGAGGGGCTGAAGGGACCTGAGCCCTCTGTCCACCACTGTGCACCTGCTCAGCCTGCGTGCTCCCCGGCTTCTCTGACTCCCAAGCCTTGGATCTGCTGCCCCTGGAGGTGGACTGCAGTCAGGGAGGGTCGGATTCCAGAGGGAAAGTACTGGTGAGCAATCCAGCCGGCGTCCCATGCCAGATCCTGTCTGCATTTTCAATGATTCAGTCAGCCACTCAACAATCTACTGACCCAATGTGCCCAGATCCTGGCAGTGCTGGGTAAAGAAGTTAAGGTCCTATGCTCGTGGAGTTTGTATTTATATTCAATTTGGAGGGACAGTGAGAAATTCAATGATAGATCTTGTGGTCATGGAGAGGAGGCAGCAGGGAGGGGGAAGGTGGGATCAGGTGAAGAGCTGAGAAGTACAGACCCTAGAGGAGGGAGGATGGGTGGTCCAGAAAGAGTGCCCCGCCCCCAACACAAAAACCTCCAAAATCAAAACCAAACAGAACAAAACCCCTCAGAGGTAGGAGGCTCCTGAACACACCAGTGAAGGGAGAGGTTGGGGGTGGCACGGCAGGTCACACAGAGGCTCTTTTTTTTTTTTCTTTTGAGCATGCCTAGTCTGCTTAGGATTTGTGGGGACTTCCGTTTTCAATATTTATTTATTCATTTATTTGTTTATTTATTTATTTATTTAATGTGGTTCAACTTTTTTTTTTTTTGGGGGGGTTTTTGCTATAGGGCGCATGCGCTCGCTAGACAGCGACAGAGAGACAGAAAGCGAGAAATCACCCACCGGGGGGATGGCCACACCGCAATCCCTTATCCTCCATTCTCCTCTCGGGATCTTGGGCACGCATGCACATGTGCCCGGCGTGAGTTTAAGCCACCAGGTCCGGGACTCGATCCGCAGTCGACTACATGGGAGTCCAGCAACATAGCCATTACA